TGGATGTCTTATAGGATGAACAAAACATCCTCTGTTTCTCTTGTCCTTGTCCCTTTTTCCAGATCTTAAGGTTTTCCACATTTTATCATCTGGGTCCTCTACTAAATGGTGATTTCCTTCTCCACAAGTTTGATTTTTTCCTTGCTTCAAATCTAGCGTTTTTTTTTTGCTCTGTCTTTGCCCATTTACCGTTTCTATTCCCATCGAATTTTTTCTGTTTTTCTTTCTGGGTTTTTGGTTTTTTGATTGGATGCTTTGTTGATCCATTGTCAGATTTGAAGATACCCAACTCCGATTTGATCGGAACTAGAATTTGGATTCTGTTTCAGACAAAAGTAGTTTCTTTTCCGTTTGATTCTCAGTTTTCTTCATATATGTCTCAATCTCTTTAGATGAATCTGGATTTAATAAATTTGAACGACTCATCATAAAGCTCAGAGCTTGAAGCTATTTGAATCTGAGACACGATCGTAGAACCAAAAAAAGCGTCATTAAAACGGATTCGTGGGCACATCTGATCTGTGGTTTTAAGATCGGATTCATGGATTGCGTTTGGTTTTGCAGGAGCAAAAGATGGAATCGGGATCGGATCTGGGCAAGCTCTTCATTGGCGGGATTTCATGGGACACAGACGAAGAACGACTGCGAGAGTATTTTAGCAAGTACGGAGATTTGATTGAAACTGTGATCATGAGAGACCGTACCACAGGACGTGCCCGTGGCTTTGGATTTATCGTCTTTGCAGATCCTGCTGTTGCAGAGAGAGTGATCATGGAGAAACACATCATCGATGGCCGTACGGTTAGTAATCTTGTGAAATAACTCATCAATAGATCCTTCTTTCATGAGTCTTTGTTCTAAAGTTTTCATCTTTATGTAGTGATACTCTCTTATAGATCTTCTGGTGTCTTTACTAATGAGATTATCTTATATTGATGAGTCTTGAGCTATGGATTGTTCTAGAGTTTTGATCTTTATGTATTTGCTGTTGCTGTTATAACTTGTGGGATAATGTTGTGCT